GTGGGGGGGTGGGGGGGCATTGACACTCAGCAATAACTCCTACATGCAGCTGCTGGCTCCCGGGGAAGTACACGTTATCAGTCGTTTCAAGTAGAAATAGCGACCACACCATTGTAGTGTAGCCCTATTGTAGCGTGCAACTCGTCGCAAGCCCGGGCTACGTTGCTACCCCATCGTCTTCACCTACTACCCGCTATTACAAGTAGTTGTTCCATTCTTCAAACAGTCATGTCGCCATAACCGCGGACTCCTTGTGCTTGTACCTATGTAGCTGTAAGTAGCTGCAATTTCGACTTGTACAGTAGTATAAATAGTGGCCTAACACTTTTGGTTGGGTGTGCGTGATGACAGGCAATACATAGTACGTACCATATTACGTCGTTACATAAATTGTGTGGGGGAAAACGGTGCTGTTTCTCGGGAGGGGGACACTTCAAGTAGTACGCTCCGTCCTCTGATACTCCCGACAGGGTGGTGGCGGGTTGGCAAAGGGTTTGGGCGGCGGTGTTTTCGGATGGTTGGGTAGTGAAGTACTTCTTCTGTAGAAAGTAGGTTGTTTCCCAGACACACCGCCAAAATGCGCCGCTTCCACTAGGTATCGACGGCCGGGACGGCTTGGTCCGCGGAACGGGAACGCTGTAGATTGGAGGGCGGAGATATTTCAGTATGCACATAACAAGGCCTTGCATAAACACATACTGCGTGTCCGTGCGATGCCCCCTTCTGTCTGGGGTAAGTAAGAACGACGTTGCATCTCGAAATTCATCGCCGGTGAAAAAAGAAAATGTCACGCGCCCTGCCTGAGCGGTTAGACAAGCCTGGCGGGATTGTATAAAGCCATTCCCGGGCGAAAAAATGTGACTCTGCAGCGGTAGATCGACTCTACCTCCACGCTTTGGCTTCATCCCCCAGGACCGTGCGTGTCAACATGGTATGATGAATGTTACGCCAAGGTGCACATCGGCGTATGCCTGCACCACCTTGTTGAAATACATCAAGTACGTTTCGTGTTCTTCATTCATCTCCACGGCGATACCGGGGACGAGCCACTGAAACCAAAAAAAAGGAAAATAAAACAAAATTTTGCACAGCACAGCACAAACCATCCACTCAACGCCTGGACAACAAGAGCGTAGGGGGCGCAATATAAAAGCACACGACAAGACGAAAGAAAAGCTCCCGGCATCGGCTTCTTCATTTTTGCGTTTGCAACAACAGCTAATGACAGGTTCGACACCCACGACCAGAAAATGTTGAAACGATAAACACAACAAAATAACAAAATCGTAGTTCTTGCGAATTGGTGCCCGTACACCACGCTACGTTGGGGTATACAGGCAACACCTTTTTGGCGTGCGAAGAAGACGCTAACAATAAACAAAAAAACAATGTTGCAAACGAAAAAACAAACGAAAAGCGCACGTGCGCTGTAGTCCGTGCCCCGCATACACAAAACGGCTCTCAGACGTGTGTTTGTCGCCCAACACTGTTTCTGAGGCGGTCGTGCAGGCGTGCTCAAAACGCCTCGCTTATGTCACTGTACACGTATAGGGCAAAACGCAGCACACCCCCGACACAAGAGCCAGAAACTGTCGTCAAGACGACTTCCACAAACTACGACAAAGGGAGGCCTAAAATCACATTTATCTACAGTTCCCGAAGGTCTTAACACAGAAGTAGCAGGCACGACGTGTGTGGTGCTCGAGGTACAGAGGGAAAAAACAACAACAAACACCACCACCACCACCACCAAGGACCCAGCGGTTGCCAAGACACAACAGAACGTTAGATGCTCGCAGCGTCTCTGCACGCATGTAGGTCTCGAGACGTGACCGCTTGAAAAGCGGGCCGACGAACCAATCGCGACAAAACAGGAAACAGCCACACCTGTTACTGCTCTCGCCCGCGCCACAATCTGCCTCTGGCCAGACCCATTACCAACAACAATACAACGCTCAGACCACACGAAGCAGCCGGACTTGTTGGTGCCGGCTCAGCCTCTTTGCCACTCGTGCGGCTCCTATAATACTTCATCGGGGATACAACATACATGGACGTCGTAGTCCCGAAGTGGTATCTGAAAAAGGCCGCACAACCAAAGGCCGACTGCCCTGTGTATATGGCCGGTGCAATCGCGTGACACATAAGGAAAGTGTTCAGGTTGTCTCCGGAATACTCTGAATAAATAGGTCCGGGTGCCCGGTACACGGCCTGCCACATCACTTGGCACTACGCAGGCTAATATGCAGAGACCACTGCCATACTGACAACAGCCTTGAGACCCTCCATCGAACCGTCCGACCATGTGCGACAAATACGGCAGCGTCGAGGAACGCCAGATGAAGCCAACGTCTCCGACCCGGTGCACGACTGCCTCCGACCACTATCCGCTCGGCTATAGAGATACGCACGTAAACACACACAGACGCGATGACTGCCTCCAATCACTATCCGCTCGGCTTTCGGAGATACACACGCAAACGCGCAACACACTTGCTTTTCACCCGCATTGAGACTGACGTCTTTTCACTGGTCAGCCGGTTAGCGCGGCCGATGCTAATAATTAAAAAAAATCGCACACACACACGCACGCGGCCTCCCACACGAGGACGCTGTACATAACTCTCGGGGGTGTCAAAATTTCGCAGCAGGGCAAACACTTCCCGCCGTAGCGCATGGAGATACAGTACTTCATTGTGTGCGTGTGTGTTGCCCGAAGTGTGCTGCTTTCTGTCCAAGAGCAGGGCTACACGCACAACACACATGCACCGCACGCTTGTGGAAAAACCTTCTTCATTGGACGGCTGGCGTTCTCTCGCCAAAGCATCTGCCCCCCCCCGCC